CAGAACTCGCGCTGGTAATCGACAATTTCGGCTTTTTGTATTACTTATTACCAGCGCGAATTGTAATTGGCCACTGCTTTTCCGCTTTCTACTTTTCCGTCAAGATATGAACCTTGGGATGTATCGCACGCGAACGTGTAAATATGTAAGTATGTATTGTACGATATATGTGTGTGTCTGTCTAAGAAATCTAATTTAATTATTAATCTGACACACCTTTCAGAGTTTTAGCGGAACTCTAAGATTGAAGTTCCAATAATAATTAAAATAAATATAATTATTTACAATAATTTAAAAGACTTATTAGTATCATTATTATTAAATTGATTAATTAAATTTGTAATATTACTATTTTAGCTTCATTTAAAATTGCATTTTAAAAAAATTTATGTAAAAATATTATTAAGCACTAAGCTTGTCATTTATTTGTATTATTCACATATCGGTCTAGTTTCACTTATTGTTGATTAATAATAATTAAATTGTTCAAATTTATTGGGTTCAGATACATAAACGCACACATAATATTAGCTAAAAATATTTTTTTGTGTTCCAATATTACCTTTATTTAGATCGCGTTGTTTCTATTTCATTTTATAACTATATCTTGCATTCCTTACTCCACCAAGTTCTTACTGATACCAAGCGCTGATACTCTTATACGCCATGTATATGAATTTTTGCACAAAAAAGAAAGAAAAGGACTTGTGCATAGTAATTTATCTCTACAATAACTTATCTACTGACGTCACACTATTATTAAGTTGTCACTTCGCTACTCATTATATATCATAAAAAACTCTTTTCGCAATCTGAAATATATCCATAATGGAAATCCCTTTATTGTGCGGAAATATCAACGTCAGAATGAGTAATCTGGTATCACTTCCTTGTGTATTTTAACGACAAATTTCCTACTTGAATCATAATTGTGATATAAGGCATCTTCACTTTTAATGGACAATTTATTTCTTTTTTGGAAGTTTTTACTCTTTGCATACAGATTTCAATATACTTTACATCGAGTATATATCATTTTTTTCTTGTTTACAGATTTTATAGTCGCAACAAATGTGAATAGCAAATCAATAGATGCATTATTTGCCATTAATGCCTTAACAAAATTACAGATGCACTGACGCATATATTATATAAACTTACCTATAGAATTATTATTTAGATAATTGACCAAACCATTGTTCTTTACCAAACAACTAGGTATATTATTAATATTATTCGCGTTCACGTTACGCACCGCACTAATACTCCTGAGTATCTAATATTTACGACCAGATATATTGAAATTTGATTAAATTTTGTTTCATCTCGTGTATAATATAGATATTCTAATATAGGAATTAAATCCCTTGACATTTAATAATATGTAAATTCGAGATTTTAAATTAGCAATTTAATCACAGTAAAAAACCGATTTCGTTATATAATAAAATACGTACGTTTCGGTCGTGCAATAAAAAAATCGAAAAATTGTTGCAATAAATCAACAATTTCTTTTCAACTTTTTCACTGCTCTGATAAAGGCTAAAAAAAAGCCGAAACATCCGTTTTATTATTATATGATGGAATAATTTTTTTTATATGACTGTTTTTAATAATTTTTTAATTATATGACTAAATGTTAAACATTTTAAAAAATTTATTAACTATATTTAACATTAAATATAGTTTATTGTAATAATAGCGCACGAATTACACAGCCGATTCCTAATAGTTCTTATTGCCTCATTTTAAATTAAACATAAGGAATCCAAATTGTTCTCAAAATTGTTATATTATTATATTTTATATCATATTATGTTTCTCAGGAATCTTAATATATGGTATATAAAAAAATTTTTCGTCAAAACTACACAATAAAAAACATTTCTTATGTTAAAACCGTCCTTGTTAAAATTTTTGTGTTGAATTTTTAACATTACGAATATTAATTTAATATGATGTGACTATGTTATTTGAATATTTTATATTAAATTGATATTTATGTCTTAGTGTTAAAATAATACAATTTGTGAGTAAGTGAACAATAATACAAAGTAATGTAATTTTAAAAAATATAAATGAATAAATGAATAATTAAATAAAAGATGAATGTATGTGTTAATTTAACATATATTAAACGTAAATGTTAATTTTACTGAAGAAGTATGTTTCTACAAATTATTTCCACATTTATAAAGAAACTACATTTTTTGTGCTAATTTTTATCTAATATTTGTATTATTTTCTAACATATTCATTTTGTGTTGAATTAATACAAAAATTTCAGTGGACCGTTTGAAACACGAGAAATGTGTTAAATTTAAAACAAATTTTCCAACAATTTTCCTGTGTAAGATTGCAGCTTTTTCATTTCGTTTTGCATATTAATCGTATTCACATATCGATAAATCACAGACGAGTTTAAACAAATGTCTGAAATTCAGATCAATCTTTTATTTTTTTTCCGTTGTCTTTTCTACTCCAAAAGACAAAATGTTTTTTTATAGTACGTGCAACTGAAATGATCTCGCGCGTGTTTCTACCGCGCATGCGCACTAAATCACGCATTAGTAACGTGATGTGCCAGTTCCTCGTGGTAGTCAGAAGTCAGAACGCTCCAACGCTTGTTGCATGTCGGACGAGTAAGCTAGTGTATCGTAGTGTTGTTGAAACATTTTCTCTCTTTCACACACGAGATGCACGATCGTTCGCTCCCCGAAAGACGATACACTGTCGCGAAGAAAAATCCCTTTATCGTGAACGAGAACAGAAGAAGTGGAAAAGTTATCGGGAAACAGAAGACTACATCGTGTAGGCCAATCAAATGGTCTTGTCGCAATCACTTGATCGTCGGTGCGTACTAGGAAAAAATGTAGAATCTGACGTATATGCAGGAAATCAAATATTTGTTATGCCACATGTGCTATCTGATTATAATTTTCTAATTGCGTTCTAATTACAACTGTTTATGATGCATTCTGAAATGCACTGAATATTGAAAATCTATAGTATCATCTATGTATATCTATATGTAATACGTATAACCTGGACTATAGGCTTTCAATATAGTTAGTATATTGAAGAATGTCATCAATTTTGCACTGTTAAAAATTTCATGAAATTTTATTTTTAATTTACACAATTTGAACTTAATTTCATGACATTACATTAAATTTATGTATTTATAATTGAAAAGTATATTTGTTTACATGTACATGAAATTTAATGTATTTTTCATGAAAATTAATGAAATTTAATGTATTACTTTCCAGAAAATTTTATGAGAAGTACGTTAAATTTCATCAATTTAATGTACACGTTCATTACATTTAAGTAACTACTGTAACTTAATTTTCAGTTAAATCATTATTCATTACTTTTTTTAATTTCGTTCATAACCACAAGCTTCATTTACATATATAAAGGAAACTCGTGATCACACTTCTAACAGTGTGTATGTAACTTGGAAAGACGTAGAGTTTTCAAGTAAGAGTTTGGACATTATTCAGACATTTTTTGATTGGTCCGCCATTTTTAGCTTCTGCTTAAAATGGCATGAGATTGTAGACACATGTATCTTGGTCGCTTGGAATCGCTTGAAATTCTGTCCCGTACTATACTAGGTTAATATACATTAAAGGCTGCTTTATATAAATTAAAGTATCTAAATGCAGATATAATTAACTTTGATAATGAAATAATAGTATATTTTGTTAAATAACGTGATGATCATTATTGGATATTTAATGAGTATTTAAAATATTCATGTATATATGTTTTTATATTTAACTTTGCTAATTTCATATGTAGTAGCTTTTAGTATACACTAATCTAGTAATGTGCGCAAGTGACCAAATTCGTTATATTTCATTTTATTTTACATCTCGCATATGTTAGAATTAGATATACTTCATTCTACCTTAATTAAATGTTTCATCCATATTTAAGATGATTTAAATTCTTTTTTTATTTAAGGAACTCTAGAAAAATAAAATTTACGTCGTACCAAGGTGATCGAAATGCAGAAAAATGTCTTTGATCTATGTAAATTCAAATGGCATGATATTAACTTGATATTATGTAACTGCTTTGCCGCTCCAAGAATTTTGTTTACTTTACGCAATTAGTTAAAAGTTAGGCGACTCATTCCGTGATTACTCATAAGATAAATTAATTTATGAAGAACCGTACTACATTGTTTTATCAGAGAGATTATCAAAACACAGTCATTATAAAAATATAAACATACAATTGAAATATTTCATTAGAAATAACGTAAGTTTTAAGCTTTAGGAGTGTTAAAAGGACGCGATAAATTTTAGATTTCTTTTTTTCATAATTGTTCGTAATTTGTTTTCTTCATAATTTTTTTTCGTAATTGTCTTTATCAATTTGCGCTTAAAATCGTGTAAGGAAATCGTAATCTTTTGATAATGTATATTCGATCACATATACAATTTCTGTAAGCATGTTTGGACTTTGGATTTATGAGATTTTTATTATAATTTATTATAATATATTATAATATATATAATCACCTTTTATTTTATTCACATAATATGTATAAGTTATCAATATTCTTGATTCAATTTATTAAAGTTATCGATAACTCGTAATTAAATTAAGTTGCAAATTAATATTTATACGAAAAGAGCAGTTTTGCTGAAATATCTAAGAATTTAGCTAGATACAGATAAAAAATAATTTTGTTGAACTATCAAAATAATTATATTATTAATAGGACATTCAAATTGATTGTTAGAATATAAAAATTTTTTGTAACATTGCTTGAGTTTTCCATATAATTATTTTGATGGTCCAATAAAATTATTTTCAGATCTATAGTTAGTTAAATTTTTAGATATATTTCAGCAAAATCGTTCCTTCTGTATAAGTATTTTTGGAAATATTGTATCGCGAAATTGTTTATTGATTTTCTTGAAAAGATCAATAAATTATTGTCTATTTATTTTAATTTGCGATTATTTACTGCATTTTAGTGATCGTACTCTTGGCGTTCTTGGAATTACTCGTGCAACCGTACCAGCGGATCGGTTTCTTTTGCAATGACCCGAAGATTTCGTTCAAATTCACGGGCGATACGATCTCTACAGGCCTAATCATAAGCTTCAGTATCGCCACGCCTTTACTAGTGGTAAATACTCCTATTTTACGTATTCTTGCTCCTTCTAATTTTATACTAAATTCATGAAAAAAATTGTTATTAAAGCTTCATATTATACGAAAGATATTTTGAGTTGAACGTGTTTAATGCAATGTTAACTTAAATCGGATCTTAAACTTATGATTTATATTTTTTTTATCATGTAAGTCGGAAATGTACATCAATTTCTACAAGATCAACGATGGTTTATACAGGATGATATTCCTTATGTATTCTAAAAGATTTTAAAGGATGTTTTTTCACATTATAATTCCAGACGAAAACTTCATATGATTGAAATGACTTACAATCAGTTTCAAAGATACAAAATGAAAATTGAAGGAACAATTTCGTGCTTTTTTCAAAAATTTTGAAAATCATTCGGGCTGTTTTGATGAAGTATTAAACATACACAAAGTTTCACCAAAACAATTTTCAAAATTTTTTGAAAAAGAAAAAAGGTTTTTTTTTTAATTTTGTTACTTTATATCTTTGAAACTAAATTATTTTGAACATATAATCACATATAAAGTTTCTGTCTTGAGTTAAAATGTGAATTATTCCTTAAAATCTTTTAGAATACTTATCCAAATAGAACAATTTACGATAACATCAAAATGACATTAAAATGAATCGGAAATGATTGAAAAATAACTTTTAATGATCATTTTAGAATCATTTTGACATCATTTTGATATTATAATGACTTGTTCTGCTTGGATAAGGACCATACTATGTTGTACATATGTAATTTTTTTTTAAGATATTAAAGTGAGTAACGCTTATAAATTTTGGATTTATTTTTTTGTTTGAAACGTCAATTTGATGCGTCAATCCAATAAGATCATAATTCATGAGGTGAGATATTCAATAATAAGATAATTAAAAAATGAGAGGTATCTATAATACATTTTAACAATCTCATAGGTACTCATAGTTAGTTCTTATATTCAAGACTGTCTGAAGTTCAACCTTGAGTTCACGAACCAATAAATAGCCGCGCATTAACATCTTAAGACATGATTTAAGACAGTCTTGAAATAAAAACCGACTACGAATACGGGCTTTTCGAGTGGCAGTATGAAAAAAAATTTACTTCAAATGTAGAAAAAAGAAGATCCATAATTTTGTTTTTCTCGATTCGGCTTGATTGAAATGAGAGCAGGAAATATCGAGAGTCACATTACATAAGAGTCCTTTTTGGTCGGTTTCAGCTATGGATCGCGGAATACATCTACTATTCCGCCGACAGTTACGAGAGCGCATCATGTTACGGCACCCGGAGTAAACTAATCTGGCGCTGGTACGGACACTACGCTGCGGGGATTTTGACGCTTATACTCCTTTGCGAAGTCATGAAACTCCTGATCGGTGAGCCGCGGCCGCACTTTCTCGACACGTGCAAACCGCGCGAGGCGACCAACTGCACCAATGAGTAAGCACCGACCTCTTCTTTCTTTGTCCCGGTTGGCTTGCCGCCTAAGCGCAATCCGGTCGACCTTTATGTCGTCGACGTGTAGGTAGCTCGGTACGCGATGGCGTGTTCGTGGGTCTGTATATTATATGGATTCCGGTAAAGAAACGAGGGAGATACGCATGCCAAGCACCTACGTATAATTGCGTAAGTTCTCAACAATGCTGAGAGATAAAACGCAAAAAGCGGACTTGTTACTTATGTTCTTATCGCAAGATGAATCGGTACGCGCCTTTTTATATCCTTTCTTTATATCAAAATTTTTTTATATAAAAAAAGGTAGTTAACCGTAGGAGATGTATTTATCAATCGCGAGGAAGGTAAAAATATGTATATACGGTCGGTTATATAGAGATCTATAATACGTTCCATTTTGCTGTCAGATTATGCCTGGCCTTGTACTCTCGCGGTAAAATAAAGTATTTGTCCATATTATTATTTAAGTAAAATCATAACGATAAAAACTATATTGGAATTTTATTCAGAATGTTTCAAAATATTTCCTTTAAATTTTATCAATCTGTGTCTAATGTGACTGGAAAATAACAAAAACAGTGACGTTCCCGTATTTTCTTTGCAGATACTTCATTTCTTACACATGCACGAATACCGAGGTCTCCACCTGGTCCATCATCGATTCCAACAAGTCCTTTCCCTCCGGTCATGCCGCTCTCTCCGTCTACACGAGCATCTTCTTGGTGGTAAAAAAAATTCTCTTTTACAACATAAAAACTTGACAAATTACTTTTTATAACATAAAATTGAGAAAGAAAACAGAACATCCCATTAGTTTATCCGTAAAGCTCAGCAGCTTGTTGGCAATATAGAGAACTGCGGTATCAGCATTGAGTACTTTCCGGTATTTTCCATCTAAATCTATATCGATAGTCAGTATCTAAGCGACGGGAAAGAATTCGCAAAAAAAATCTACCGGCGGCATATCGATTTTCACGGGACCCGCGAGACAGATAGATGAATATGAGATAGTTACGAAATAAATTCTCAAAAATGCGTAACTTATTTCAAAATAAGAAAAAAAATGAAAGATCAAGAACTTTAGCCAAAGTATATTACGCATCTATTCCCTCTCACGTTTTTTTCTCGCCACCGAATAAAAATATTGTCAAAATAATTAGAAAATAGAAATTATCGTGAAAATACATAATATGAGAGTCCCGTTTCTTCGTTTTGTAAAAACGTGTTCGCCTTTTGTCGCATCGTACACAGTGGTACCTACAGAACCGTATGCCGAATCGGACGTTGTTTCTGAAACCGTGGCTGCAGTGCCTGATGAGCATGTGGGCCGTTACGTGCTCGATAACCAGAGTGGGCGACAACCGGCACCACTGGTGGGACGTTCTCATCGGCAACGTCCTCGGGCTTCTATTCGGCCTGTTCGTCGTAATATTATCGTGCCGACACTTCTGTCTCGAGCGTACCGCCGCCAATGCCGCCGACGTTGCGATGCACGCCCTTAACGAGCCCCTGGAGAACGGCCAGATCGGAAGCTACGACATGCAGCGCAAGCATAACGCCAAGAAGCTACTCAATCCTACCGCCGTCGACATCTCGGAGATCCGAGAAATGAAGGACATCGCGACCTGGAGTAAATAAATGCATTCGTATGACGAGGGGATGATTTCAGGGGTGGAGATGAGGACGCGGGAATACATAGAATCGCGATGATTGAATCATTCGTTTCGGAAAAGATCGAACCACTCGTTCGTTCCAAAAATATCGAGAATATTTTCGTTGTACCTGATCTGTTTTTAAGTAATAATAATGTAAACTTTCTTCGGTATACAATAGTTGTAACGTGCAAAGAAACAGAAGTATAATAGAAAGATGCATATTAATGGGTGCAGTGGAAATAATGATTCCATTTTTAAACTTCTACGACAGATATTAGAATTCAAATAAATTATTAGATTTTAGATTTTATCTTTACATACACATGAAAATAAAATCTAAAAACAAAATAGAAATATTAAGAAAAAATACAATAATAATATTAGTAATGTAAGTAACATCCATATAAAAACAACTATTAGTTCGTTAAACGATGCTAACAGAGTAACACTTACAATTAGAATTAGCCTAATGTTGTACATATACATATATAAAATATGAACATACACGTATATGTTCATATCTCCGAGTAAATATACTCTGTACAGAAGAATTATAATATATAGGTAATGAAAATAAGTAACAATAGAGATGAGCATAGATTTAAAGTAAGAAAGAACATGAAATAATAATGAAGTAGATGTATATCAAATAAAATGAGAAATAATACATTGAGAAACAGCTGATTTAAAGAATGAGAGAGGAGGACAACCGAGGATAACGAATTAAGATATTTTACTGCGATGTAAGTAGACGCGCGTTCATGCAACAAACAGCTGCGTAGCGGCTATTAATAAAGAAGCGATAACAGAATAAGTTAATGACAGAGCGGCGTCATACGATTGTATCGATGCACATGCTCTTCGCAATTTCCTAAGAAATAAAGATTTTGGAAAACGTCCTTTTTTTCCGAGACGATTGATTCGATCAGGGAATGTGTTTAACGTGTGAGTTTAGTGGTGGTTTCCCTCGTAGCAAAGATCGAGTGCCGGAACGCACAAGATTTATTTTCGTATTAACAAATAAATTGCTCAATACGAAATAGTCGAACGTTTTACATTCCACTGGGAGGGGAGGGAGAAGAAATTGCACATATCAGAGTCACAGACGCATCGATCGCGCAGGTTCTCGCAGGTGCGAAGTGACGGCTTAGGATTGGAACGTTCGCGCTAGGTATGCAAATGCGAGTGATCTATGCGGAACTGCCTACCGACTTGCACCGATCCAATACATAATATAAGAAACTCGCGGGGCTTACAAATATCGAGTCAATTAATTGCACAGGATGATAATCCAACGAGGGAAATGATTTAGTAATCGTCCACCCGAGATATTTAATCTCGTCCCAGATGCCGACTTCTCTCGACGTCTCAAATGCTTCGTTCTTATCAGTAATTTACACTTACGCTCCCGCAGTTGATTACATTATTTAAGAAGCGTAGCTTTAACCTTCTGATGCACTTTGAACGCAGACAGAACCGAAAACGAGGGCAAGTCGCGTGTGCAATTTTTTATGCACATGTACAATATTGTAATGTAGCGAAAATTCAGTTGCTTTAATTTATGTTACATGACGTACAATTTTTGAACGAAAATTAAAATTGAATAGTCAGAAAATTTAATCTGTCGAGAGAATAATTTGGAAAATAAGTCTCGTTTAGACGAAAATTTTAATTTATTCGCATAATATTATATAATTTAATGATATTTTCCTAGATATAATTTATTCACATTCCACATGCAGCTTTCAAATGTATATATCTTTACTGTGAGAAAATATTCTTCAATCTTTTTTTTAATTTATTTACGCGCGAAAAAGAGGGATGGGAAGAATAACACAGTGAGATTTATACATTATTACAAAAGAAGTGCCTTTATGGATGTGCTCGGAAACGAACATGTATATAAACAGTAATATTATTTATAGTCACGTAATATAATTCTATTGCCTCGCGTTTTATCATCTTCAGATGAACCTAAAGATGAACGTTAATACGTCGTTAATGGAGCGATTTTTTTTTAAAATCGTGCGCAGAACGACATCGGCCTTTTAATCGGTGAAAAGCCATTAGATAAGTAATACGTGTCCTTCGGTAAATTTCATGTACTCGAATACTTTCGCAATAGTATTGAACAGCGTTTGTATGCAAGGAACGCAATGTTTGTCCGTCCAAGTTATGGACCGTAAATACACAAGTAGTGTTTATACACTACAATGCAGTCACGCGGTAGATGATAGTAAGTTGTGCGAAATTAAAGTGATTACATCGTACGCGAGTGCGCTTCAACGCTGCCGATTGTTATTCTTACGGTGTACGCCTCTATATCTATCTACCTAAGAAGCGTGTTATTTAATGCACCTGCTGATTTCTGCCACCGTGTAATCGCGAACGCGGGATTTGTACATATATCGTAGGAGGTATCGTATATTTTTAAAAACGCGAACACGGCGTCAGTCGTAAGAGACTCCGGAATTGTAATTACTATATGTAATTTAATTAGCCTATATGCCGACCTTCCGTATGATTGTGATACGTCTCGCGATTGTGTACACATGTGCACCCATCGCTACAAATGTATGCTACGTATACATATTCTTTTATTCAAGATTAATTTTTAAAGAAGCCAGTCCTAAGGCAGTGCCATTTTTACGGTCTCGCAATCATGACATATTGGAACATGTATATTTTGCCATTATATCAACTAATCCAAGAATTTTAAAACGAAAATATTTTATACACAGAAATAATATATATATACATTACAATTTTTAAATTCTTATGTAAATTTATTATTTTTTTAATTAATTTACTATTATTTCATACCAGAGATCAATAATTTATTCTCCACTAGTGAATATTTGATGATTTATCTTTTGTATCTTTATCTCAGTCTCACTGAGATTTTTACATATAAATCACATCCGTAATTTTAAATAAATTTAAATTTAATATATAAATTGTTCATGGAATGAAAGATCGCATTTTTTTTTCACACCGTGCAACTCACGAAATGTACGATCTGGGTTCGGAGAACTCGGTCTGTTGTTTCAATATCTTTTACATATACAAAATAGAATGCAACTTTGTCATAAGAAAATAAAATGCAAGGATTAAAAATAAAATGTTTCTTTTTCCCTCCCGATCGAATTCTCCCCTTCTTCAACCTTACACCGAATGAATGATCGCGCTCCCTTTGAAATCCAGCGTTTCTTCCCTCGCCCTCGCGTTTTCCACCCTCGTGTCGTCAAATAAATCTTACAGGACAGCGATCCTTCGGCATCGCCAGGAGAGCGGCTGCTGGACTACCGCAACCCGATGCTAAACCGAGCCGTGTGAAAGCGCTCTTATTCAACAGCTTGCATCGCTCTTGAATTTTTAATCGCCAAACGAATGCACTAACCTGAATATCACAAAAGCTTCGATCTTAATTTTAACGACGGATGCAGTGACTTCCCGTCGGGCGGGAGTCTGTCGTGACTTCGGAATGGTGGACATAAATTTTAGTAAGCGAGCATAATTAAATTTCGCGAGGAATTAGAGCTCGCTCGAAATTGTACAGTACAGAAAGTTTTCATTGCCGGATTGTTCATTGCAGAAATTTTAATTCGTCAAAATTTTTTTTAACTTTCGATGCTAAATAATTTTACAATCGGAGAATTGCGATGAAGGGAAGTTAAATACTAAATATTAAATTGAAATTAAACACTATGATGTTGAGTAGCATTCTACATATTTTAGGAAAGGTCTGTTCTACAAACGAAATCGACACTATCAAATATGAATTGCAAACATTTTTTATTTTAAATAATTTTATCTTTAAATATAAAATTTGTTGTATACCAATAGAAATACATTGATTGGGACAGACAAGAAACGAGTAAATATACGCAATTGGTGAGGCACCAGCAAAGCTGCTGCTATAACACCCACTAGAAAACGAAATGCAGAAACGGTAAATGATGATACCATGCACATCAATACACAAAAAAGTAAATTAACAATAATAATATACATAATATTTAAAATAATATATATTATAATAATAGTAAATATAATAACAGTAAAATCATAAACTTCTTTTTATTACGATAAGCTGTCTAGAAAATCTTTATTTTTTTACTCGAGAGAGAGGTCTGATGCCTTTCACGCAAAACCCAAACTCGATTTTATATATGAATTAATAGTAACTCTAAATTAGATCTGTATTACAGAAAAATATCTTTTCATCGTTTGATTATTTCATAAATAAGAGGAGAAAGAGCGACTCATCCGTATTACGGTCTAAGACGACTTTAAATCCACTACACTGATGCGATCGCGAAATTACGTCGGTGACGTAGAAAACCTGTGGCGGAAAACCTGTGGCGTTTTCTGCAAAACGGTCCGCACGCGTTCCAAGATATCCCATGAATGTCATCCCCTCCCCTTTCACCCGCCCGCACCTTTTTTTTTCTCTCACGCGGACGGACGAACGGACGGATGTGCGACCGAAACAACGAGCGATTTAATTTGGTAGCCACGCGTATGTAACGCGACGGACGAACGGACGGGCCGAAGCATTTTTTCGTCGGGACAGAGTTTCTCTCTCTCCTTTTTTTATTCTCGTCCTTTCCCTCCTCTCTTTCTCTCTCATTCTCCTTTTTTTTGCTTCCCCGACGAAACAATTGGTTGGGGGTGGAGTGCACGCGGAAGGGCGCGCGGGTATGGGGTGCTCGAGGCGGGCGCGTGTGAGGGTGGCGGATGAGGAGATGGAGGAGGAGGAGGAGAACCGGGGGTGCGGCGGGATGGAGTGAGATTGGCGTGGTACAGAGAGCGCGCGCGGAGGTTGGATGAGAGAGATGAAGTGGCAGATTAACGTCAACCGACGTAGGCCATTCATAACTGGGCTCCACGGCCGCGGCCGTGTGTATGGCAGCGCGCGAACGAGGCGGGCGAGGCGGGCGAGTGGGTACGCGGATACCTCACGTGTACATGTACGTGCAAACGCACGTACGCGTATGTGTGTGTGTGTGTGTGTGTG